TGATAGCCTTTAGTTGCTTTGTTTGTTTAGAGATAAATATTGTTTCAAGGTAGAAGAAATTTGTTGTTTTTAAAACTATTGACTGTAAGGTTGTTAGGAGTTTTAGGAAGTATATCATATATTAGATATATATATTCTGGAATAAAGGGGGAATAGATTGCAGTTTGAGGAAGCAAGAAGATTGTTATATTATTTTTGGCTAGTTGTATAATATGAATGAGAAGAGTAAAGTTGTGAGTTTTTCTATAATGTAGAAGAAATGTTTTCTTGGTAAGGCTAGGACACAAAACTTTTAAAAGCCAGAATTTAATTCAAAAAGTACCAATTTCATTAAGAAGTAGAGAAGAATTAAAGGTATATTTGATATTAGAAACATTAACTTTTTAAATAATGTTGTTAAATATTAGTAAATTAAAGATAAGAGAGTTTAGTAGTGAGGTGTTATTAGTGTTTTTAGCAAGTGAAAGCATTTTTTTTGCTTGTATAGAGAATAAGTGAGAAAGTTTAGTTTGTATATTTTTTTGAATAGATATAATTTGTAGTAAATATTCTAGTAAGGGTTGGAGTATGAGGTTGAATAGAGATAAATTTGGGATGGAAGAAGTTTTTTATATTTGATAAGTAATAAAAAGTTTTCTATTTAATATAATAGTTAATTTATATAAAATGTAAATAAGTATAAAGAAAATATATGAAAATATAAATTATAAATATTTAATTTTTTATAATTTAAGAGTATAAATTGTACAAAAAAATTTGGGTATAGGGTTAGTAAGATTTACTAAAAAAGATTATTATATTAATAATAGACTTTGTGTAATAATTAATAAATTTGTGTAATATTGATTGTTAAAATAAAAAATCTAAAAAGAAAATTAATATTTTCACAATATAAAGTTAATTTAAATAAATTTAGAAGTAGCTAAATATTATACAAAAATTGTGTATAGTAAAAAGAACAAAAAAAAGACAAAAATAGTTATAAAGAGTAAATAAAAAAGAGTTAAAATGTTTTAAAAAATAACTTTATTAATTTTAAAGTTACAAAGATGAAATATAGCTTGTTATAATGAGAAAAGTATGTAGAACAAACTTTTCTTATTAAAGAAAAGAGATTTAGAATCAGAATATTAAGCAAATAGCCAAAGTTTGAGTTATTGGTTTTAAAGAACTTTTTTGAAGTTTACTCTATAAATATAAAAGCTATAGACTTGTAATTTGAGTGTTATGTATATTTTTGTAAGCCAAACAAGTTTACTTAAAAGACAAAGTTAGATTAATTTAGTAAACTTTGTGTAAATAGATATTTTTTGTTAGATAAATTTTGAGTAAAATTTGTATTAGAGATTTGCAGAAAGCAGATATAACTATTGTTTTAAAAATATAAAACAAATATAATATTGATTATATTATTTATAATTATATTTTTTTTAATAAAATATTATAAAGTTGAAATTCTATGTCTAGTAGTCTAGATATCCAATCTTCTATGAGTAGATTTCAGATTTAAGTTTAAATAGAAATATTTATTTGCAAATATTTAAATATATTTATATATAAGGTTGGGATCTCATGGCCTAGTGGTCTAGACACCTAACTCTCTACGAGTAGATTTTGGGTTCAAGTTCTAGTAGATGTGAATTCTATAAATACTTGAATATCTCACATATGGAAAAGTCCAAGTGAGTACAAGTTTGGATTAAGAATTTCTAGAAAGAGGTCCATTGTGGAGTATTGGCACTATGCGTAATAGTGGTTGTTACAGAAGATTCTATAATACAATGGTTGTGCGTGTAAATTCACAATTGGCATAGATAGCACCAACAACCTCTAAAGCAGTATTGAAAATCTTAGTTGGAGAATAACTAGACAGTTACTAGAATTGGAGTAGTGAGAAAAGTGATAAAATACAAAGGGATCTGAGGAAAAGAATTGGACTTATCAAATTTAAAACATCTCTAGTACTGTATAGATCTCTCTAGCCAATAAGAGGTTGAAGCATGGATGCATATATATATAAATAGACCCAATGTGCAATAGTCATACCCATAGAGGAGTTTTTGGACATTAAGAGGACTCAGGATCTACCAAAATCAGAATAGCTAGTATAAGTGCATATAGTAGTAACTAGAAGCTACAACTGCCAAGAATTACTATAAATAAAAAATGATAATAGATCTGTTAAAAACCCCTAGGCCTCATGATGCCACCTAACTATACTTGGTACTAGAAGCATATGCGAAACATGTCTAAACTCCTCATTACTATATTAAGAAGTATAGTTATTTGCACATCACTAAATTTGCAATATTAAGACCTGGGTTTCAAAGTTACAAGAAATCCAGCTAGTTATAGCAACATGCAGGCTTGAGATACTATTTAATTGGGTAGAGGCAGCTGCATAGTTTAAAATATGAACTTCTGAAAAGTACACTAGTAGAGATTAAGAGAATTCTCTATTAGGTACACTAAACTAGAAGCAAAAAGTGCCTATTTGGTGAAATATACACTGATTTGAGAATTAAGATAGTAGATTATGTGAGTAATGTGGCAGACATGTGAATACTAATTAGCAGTTAAGAAAGGAAGTGCAAAAACTAGGTTAATCATATATGTGAGAGTGTAATGGCTCTGGTAGGTTTTAGCTATGAATAAATAATTTGTATATCTAAAGTTCTAGTCTCAATACTAATATGTAATATGTATGTGTTTACGGCACTGCCATATATCAATTCACTTAAATATTAATAAAAGTTTAAAGCAGGTGCTATACCCAGAGTATTCTTTAAATATTAAAAAAATATATATATACTTATATATAAAAAGTTCAAGTAAGTACTTATTTAAAATTTTTAGAAAAAAATCACTAATATAACAAGTATATATTACAGAAAGTTTTATATATAAAGATTGTGTATATAAATCTTTAGTTAATATAGATAGTACTAACAATCTCTAAAGTGGTATTAGAGATCTTAATTAGAAAAATAACTAGACAATAACTAGAATTAGAGTAGTAAGAAAAGTAGTAAAATACAAAAAGCCTATAATAAAGAATTAGTCTTACCAAATTTGAAACATCTTTAGTATTATATAAAACTTATTAGCTAATAAAAAATTGAAATATAGAGGTATATATATTGTTATATTTGTATATTTTATTAGAATAATTATACAAATTACTATTTATAATTTAGTATAGATTACATAATTCAAATTTATACTATTAGTTTTCTTAGTAAATTTTTTACCAATTTGAATTTAGAGACATATTTAAAATTTAATATAATACTTTACTATATAGTACTTTAGTATAGTACTTCACTATAATATCTTAGTATACAGTACAGGACAGCAAAAAACATCCAATTTTTATATATAAAATATAAAAATGCTTATACCTTACAAACAAATAAATTTTAAAAAAATCTGTCTTACAGATTTGTTACTTTTAGTCCAGGCTACAATTCTGTTAAAATAGATTTTTATTTTTATTATAAATTTAAAAAGTTATAAGAGCTTAAAGTTTATAAGTAATCAAAATTTTGGCGTTTATTATATAAAAAAATTTAGTTATATAAATTTTTAACCAATCAGAATTTTGTTACACAAAATTTAGCCAATCAGAATTGAGTATAAATCCCAAAATTTGGCGCTTTTAAAAAAAAATTGGATGTTTTTTGCTGTCCTGTACTGTACTAATTCAAATATAATAAATATTTACAGATTTTGTAAGTTTATTAGTATAATATACATTTTATGCTAAGTTCTCCATACTACTATAAAATTCAGGTTCGTTTTCAATAAAATATTCCTTAGCTATATCCTTAATTTGATCTAGTATAGAGTAAACACTTGTTACAATAAAGCATTTAGCAATAGCTATACATGTTTGCTATTATAAAATAATATATTTTTAGCTTAATTAAATTAATTATAAAAATTAATAAATAAAATTAATAAAACCTCAATGAATTTAGTTTCATTGGCTATATTGTGATCTTTTAATTCATATCAGAAATCTTTTGCTTTATAATATTAACTTTTTCAAATAGCTTAATGAGTATATCTTTAATCTTAGCCAATATAGATTAAACTTAAATTATATTAAAATAATATTAAATTAAAAATACTAGAAATAGTAAATTAAAAAAATAGCAAAATTATATTATTGATTTTTAACTATCAGAAGGTCTTAAAAAATAACTTAATATAGATCTAACAGTTTTACCAGAATATGCTACAATATGACTAGAAACAAACTACACTGAGGCACTTCCAGCTGGCAATTTACAGAATTCCTCATATTTTTTTGCACTTAAATGTTCAATTTTTCTGAGTTTATGTGATACTATTATAAATTATAATAAAGGATATAAAATAAAAAATAAAATAAAATAAAAATAAAAAAAGTAAAAAAAATAAAAAAAAATAAAAAATAAATAATAAAAATGATAAAAATAAAATAAAAAAATTCAAACTAAAATAAATAAATAAAAAAAAACTAAAAAAAAGAAAGTAAAAAAAAATAAGGAAAGAGCAAATTAAAGCAAATTAATTGAAATAAGATAAAAAAAATTAAAAAAAAATAAAATAAAAAATAAAAAATAAATAATAAAATGATAAAAAAAATAAGAAAATTCGAATTAAATTGAATAATTAAAGAAAGAAAAATAAAAAAAAAAGAAAATAAAAATTAAAGAAAAGGCTAATTAAAGCAAATTATTTAAATAAAGATAAAATTAAATCAAAATATAATATAATGAAAATGTGAAAATGAATTGGATAAGATGAGATTAATTCGAACAAATTTGAATTTGCATGAGAAAAGAAAAACTAATTTAAATTTGTGTAAGTAATAGAAGATAAAAAAAAAAAATACAAAGAAAAAAAATCTAAATTGAGTGTATTTAAATAAATTCTCTTTAATTTTAATGATTAAATTAATTTAAAAATACTTTGTTTTTTTAAATTTATTAAACAATAAAATTTAATCCTATTCACTTTATCTAAAATAATTAATTTTTATTTTAATTATAATTAATCGAGATATAATCATCTTTATTTTTTTTTTTTTAAATATTAAGGTAACCACTTAGGTTCCCGGCACTTAGCTTTATTCAGATAATTACGATATTACATCAATTTCACAAGGATACAACTAGCTACATGTGTACTTTTGGTACCTAATTTAAGTAGTCCGCCTGGGTTCTATACTAGCTGATATACCTGCAACCTAACTATGAGATTACCTATTTAAGCTCTCTGATTATTTAACTAACAAGAGTACAACATCCAACTTTTGGTTACCTATTTAAGTAGTCTGCCCTAGGTTCCACACTAGCTGCCGTACTTGCACCTAACTATTGGGGATACCCATTTAAATCCTCTGTCTTCATTTCTGTAACATGCTTTACTCTAACACTCTTAATGAGATTAGCAATGCCATATAAGAACCCTAAGACTTTAGCCATATATAGGCATTTATCCTTGTGGTAAACCTAACAAAATGGTACATGTTCTACACATGTACTCACCTGCATGTTTAGTAACTTTTCCCAACTAGTACATGTTGTGCTGCTGCTACTGGGTCTGTATCTCAAGCTATCATCTCAGATACTGCTGTAACCTGATTCATATCTCAAGCCACAACCTTCCTAATTAGTTTCCATTTACATACTCCTGCTCTTGCAAGGTTCACACCAACTCCAGTACCCACGTTCTAACTTCCTTCTTTTCTGAATTCCTTATCGGTCCCTCCCTTACTTCCAGCTGGCAACTTGAAAGGGTTGGTTTGCCCAGGCTCTAGGTACTTTATAGTTTCCCTCCCCTTGGTACATGCTTTCAGAGTACAAGTCTTTTTTCTCTGGTGGCAAGCCGGCAGTTCGGCTAGTGTGTCCCCCACTTAAGGATCTGATCGCTTGGTTCTCCGGTCTCAGTTTCCAGTTTCAAATTCAGTCTTTCTGTAGCACCATCAAAGATCACTGCTACTCCCAACTTGGGACTTGCCAAACAGGTTTTTAGTAATTCCAGTTTCCTGAATTTTATTACGCCAAAGCTCCCATTCGAGATGGTGTGACCAAGATTACAGATATCTGGATCCAACTGATAATCTTAACATTAACTAATACAAATCTAGTTTTTTCAAAATCGTCGTCCATGGGATTTGAACTCTAGACCTGCTATTTGGGGATGCGACAACTCCACCACTTCACTAAGTCACCACACCTAATAGCAACTATTTTTAATATTTCTAAAATAAATAAATTATTAATAAAAATTTAATTAATAAATCAAATAAATTTTATTAAAATTTATCTATTAAAATGTATTAAACAAGTTTTAAATATTGACTGAAGATGTTTTTGCCAATTTTTAGAATTATTAATTTCTTCTAAATATAATCCAAGATCTTTAGCTTGACCTTGATCTAAGTTCCCAATTATACATTTTCTTCCAGAATTATAAATATGATAATATGTTTGGAATTGATCAGTTAATTTTTTAATATAATAAAATAATACTTTAAATATTTTATTATATATATTAGTATTGCAAAATTAACAAAAACTCTGGCAAATATAAGTGTTATAAATAAATATAATTAATAATATAATAAATTAAATAAAATAAAAAATTTAATTAAATTTAATAAATGCCTTGATTATATTGTTTAGAATAATAATTAACTTCAACTTCTTTTATTTTACCAGAAACACGTTTATAAAAAAGATTAATTTGAAAACATTCAACTTTTAACTATTGCAAAGCTTGCTGTTTAGACATACAACAAACTATAATACCTCTATCTTCAAAAGTTTCTAAAAATAAATAAATTTTAAAATAATATAAAATAAAATTATATAAAAATTATAAATATAATATAAGTTTATATTACCAACTTCTTGAAGATAGTCAGAAAATTCATTATTTCCTTTCCATATATTATAAACTAAACTTAAAATACCCAGTCCATGTGAATATTTTTTCCTTTGATATTTATTAATAAGATATCTTAAATAATTAAGATTATTTAAAGAGCTATGTATTTTAAAAAAAATTCTTTTTCAAAAATAGCCTTTAACAGATTTTCTAATAATTACAATATATAAATTTAATTAATATTTCAAATTATAAAAATTTAAAATTAAATTAAATATAACCAAGTACTAGATAAAATTTTTTGCAAAGTTATATTTTATATTCATTAGAAGCATTTTCTAATAAGTTATTAAATTGAATCTGAATATTTGCAGGAACTTTTGAAGATGGAGGTAGTGGATGATTATGTAATTACAACAAATCAAAACCACAAATAGACATTAATTAAGATTATATGGAATTAATTTTATAAAATTAACTTGACATTGAAGACAAATAATTTGTCTATAACAACCAATAGAATTATTTTCTCCTGGGTGATAAAATTCTAAATTAAATAATTTAAATTTAATATAAATTTTAAAATTTAAATTTAAAATATATTAAATAAGCATACATAATATTAAAAACAAAACATTAATTATATAAAGTTATATAATTAAAACTTTATTTTTAATATTCGATAGATTAAAAATTTTAATTTAATACTTACTACAAGTTTGTAACCACAAAGATGTTGATAAAACAGTTTTGCAGGTTTGTAAATTTTGATTTTTAATGTTCTATAAAATATAAATAAATTATTTAATATAATATTATAATATTATAATATAAAGTTAAATAATTACCTCTTTTCCTTGAAAAAGCTTCTCAAATAAATTAATATCAATTTGATTTTTATTTAAAATATGAAATATGTGCTTTTCATGAGGTTTGCATTTTAAACATCCTATAAATTTTGTTACAAGATCATTAACACTTTTTCTTCCTAGCTGACAAATTATAGGATATTCTGAACAATTGCTATTATTATATAGACAAGAAATGCTCATAAATGAAAGATATTTACTAAAAAATAAATAAATAAATAAATAAATAATATAAAAAAAATTTAAAAATAATATTCAAAAATTTTACTTACACATATGTTTGAGCTTCTATAGATGTTTGTGTTTCACTAGGTTGATTCATTATAAAAAAATCCTTATTCTTATCAACTTCATAATGAGATGAATTTTTAATTTCATTATCGGTATATTCACAAACTTTAACACTAGTACATCTTCGAACAACTTTTTTTACATAACAATTTAAATAAGGACAATTGATTTTGCTAGAACTTCCTCCACCTTCCATTGAATATTGTATCTAAAAAAAAAAAAAATAAGCATTAATAACAATAAATAAACAAATAAATAATTAAATTAAAAAAATATTTACATCATTAAATGGCACAGTCGAATAAGATGAATTTACATTAAAATTATAAGCGACACCTTCATTAGAAGTCGCTGGGAATTCAATTGGAATAGCTAAAAATCAGGTATCTCTTATAGTAAGTTCTTCAGTAAAATAATTAATTATTCATGTTTCAGAGAAACTTTCATCATTAGTAACATTTTCAATTAATTGAAAATCATCATCCACATTCTAAAAAACATCCGGTTAAATTAATAATTAACTAAAAAAAGATATGAATTACATATCGATATATAATTGTAACCAAATAAATTACCGTTACATTAATTCCTAAATCATTTATATCAATAAGTAGCTGCGCAATGAAGTTGCGCAAAACCAGGAATGAGGAAGTAGTAAATTTAGTACTAAATAGGTGAGACCAACATGATTCTGTGTTTTATATTACCTCTTTTCTTCTTAGCATTTTATCATCTCCATCATAGTAAAAAAAATTTAGATAAATATATATAATTTTGAGAAAAATTTTTATATAGTCATGGAACAATTAGGAAAATTTTTACTATATAAAGCACAAATCCCACCCTTCTTCTAT